TTGTCTGGAAGGAGAGTATACTAATGGAGACTAAAACATAATCGGTAAAGCAGCCACAATCATTTCTATGAGCCAGAATGCGGAATAAGGAGAAGGTTTAGTATGTTTCAGCTTGGGCGAATTTCGTAATCACGAAGTGGTTTTGGTTCTGTCTTGATTCAACATGGTTATTTTATGTGAAACTGCTTTAACAGGAGAACACCAAGGCCAGTTTCTAGATGTTAGAGGCTTTTTTTCTATTTTTCAAGTTAATCATTTCTTTCTCAAATTGCAAGCATTTTGTGTGTCCCTGAAAAGTGTTCAAGGTCTACCATGCAGGTAGAACCTGCAGGATAAAATGGCTGTCACCAGCATGGTTTTTAGAGGTTCCTTCCTGTAGAAGCCATTCTTTGGTAATGCCTCCTATGATTCTCTCTATGAATGAAGATGGATGGAGACCTGTGGGGATAAGAGGTAATAGACCAGGGATGCTCTGAAGTGGCTCAACCAGTGGGTGTGAGAACAAGTTAGGGCTGGTGCTTTTTTGTGTGTGCTAGGGGAGAGTTACTTGCCTGGCTGTGGCCTAGTATATCTGGTGGGAGTGGAAGGTAGTTTAACAGAAGACAGGATACATATAACACAAACTTCATAAGGAAAAACTTTTCCACATTGCTATTGCATTTTTTTAGAATTTTAATTTGTTGCATATGACAGCAAAATGGGTTTTGGTTCTGTGGTTTTGGTTCATATTACAATTTTGGTTCATATTACAATTCATATTACACATACAGATCACATTTTTTCATATCTCTGGGTGTACACAAAGTAGAGTCACACCATTCATGTCTTCATACATGTACTTAGGGTAATGATGTCCATCTCATTCCACTGTCTTTCCAACTCCCTGCCCCCTCCCTTCTCCTCCCACCCCTTTCCCCATCTAGAGTTCATTTAATCCTCTCATGCCCCTCCTCCCCAACCCCATTATGAATCAGCATCTTTAAATCAGAAAAAATTTGGCATTTGTTTTTTGGGGATTGGCTAACTTCATTTAGCATGATATTCTCCAGTTCCATCCATTTACCTGAAAATGCCATGATTTTATTCTCTTTTATTGTTGAGTAATATTCCATTATGTATTTATACCATATTTTCTTTATCCATTCATCTACTGAGGGGCATCTAGGTTGGTTCCGCAGTTTAGCTATTGTGAATTGTGCTGCCATAAACATTTCATGTGGCTGCATCACTATAGTATGCTATTTTTAAGTCCTTTGGGTATAGACTGAGGAGTGAGATAGCTGGGCAAATGGTGGTTCCATTCCCAGCTTTCCAAGGAATCTCCATACTGCTTTCCATATTCACTGCACCAATTTGCAGTCCCACCAGCAATGTATGAGTGTGCCCATTCCCCACATTCTCACCAACACTCATTGTTGTTGTGTTCTTAATAGCTGCCATTCTGATTGGAGTGATTTGATTTGCATTTGTCTATTTGCTAGAGATGAACATTTTTTCATATATTTGTTGATTGATTGTATATCATCTTCTGAGAAGTGTCTGTCCAATTCCTTGGCCCATTTATTGATTGATGTGTTAAGTTTTTTGAATTCTTTATATATACTAGAGATTAGGATATATAATGTGCAAGTGGTAAAAATTTGCTTCCAAGATGTAGGCTCTCTATTCACCTCACTGACTGTTTCTTTTGCTCAGAAGAAACTTTTTAGTTTGAATCCATCCCATTTATTGATTCTTGGTTTTAATTCTTGCACTATAGGAGTCTTATTAAGGAAGTTGGAGCCTAATCTGACATGATGGAGATTTGGGCCTACTTTTTCTTCTAATACACACTGTTGAAAGAACTGAAACCGAGACATGGAGTTACCTGTCGGAGAAGTCCATTTATTTCAGTTCCAGCAGAGCCTTTTATCCAGGGTAGGCAGAGCCCCTTAGGACAGGAGGCAAATTCTCATTGGATTACAGCCATTAGAATAGTTTTGTCAGTCACCCATTGGTGACTTATTGGCGCTTTAATCTGCATAGACCAGGAAATGGACCCAGAAGAGAAGCCTCGTTGGCACCATCTTGGGGCAGTTAACCCAATATTCTCCCCTTTTTAGTTTAATAATGGGAGTAGGGTCGTCGTTCGTTCTGACTGCTTCCTGCTGAGCGGGGGTGTCGCCAGGAAGGGGTGGGGAGAACACCGGATAACCCTAATATTAATCCCCAAAACAGCGCCAACAATCTAAAGACTTCTGATGGGACCAGGTCCAAAAAAGTATCCTGAAGCCATAGGTCCTGGATCATGTCCCACCAATCCTCCTCAGTGTTCATGGATGGGAGGAGCCATGCATCCTGGCGAAGGGCATCCAAAAAGGTTTTCCATGGATCTGCCATTTAGCAGGTCATGAGTTGAGTGGTGAAAGACTGGTCAGGATCTTCTGAGGCCAGTAGTTGGTAATTCCTAAGAAGGAGCTGGTTAAAAGATTGGTTAGAGATTTTTGCTATCTGATTTTGAGCAAATTTAATCATGCAAGGGAGAAAGAGGCAGGCCAACAGAATAATGGAGAGCAGTCCAATTATTGGCCACATCCATGCCAAGAGGGGTGACTGGAGCCAGAAGGAGAAAGGAGAGGTTTGGGATGCCTTCCGTAAGCCTGCCGCCAGATCATTAAGTTTATTAATGTTTTGTTCCACCAAACACGACTCATTAATGTAGTAACAACATTTTTCTCACAAGAATATGCAGGTTGCACCCTTCTCTGCAGTAAGGAGGTCTAGAGCCCTGCGATTCTGCAATGTGACTTGAGCTTTGTTTTTGCAACGAGGCTAGTGACAACACAGTAGAGGAGAGCACAGTTTCCAACTGGGAATTGACATCCTCAACAGCCCACAGGGTATGACCCAGAGCCCCTCCAGAAAGTCCAGTACCAACAAGAGAAGTGGTGAGAGAAACCCCTATGAGTATTGGTAAAAAGGCAGCTTGCTTTGTCCTTTGTAGGGGAGTGAGAAAATAGAGAGTCAACAGAGGTATCACTGTTACCAGAAAACATGGGGAGGAGACATTTGTGGAAGCCAAATTCGTAAGAGTACCATTACACCAGAGGAAACTTCCAGGAGGAGAGTAGGTGTTATTATTGAGGGTAATGTTTGAGTTGCAGGTTATATTTAATGATATAGCAGGCCTGGAAGAAACAAACGGGCAGATAAGGTGGAATGAGACAAGGGAATCCTCGGGTTCCCATAGTGGGACCCGAGAAAGGGGCCTCATGACCTGTCCCTGAGTTGGAAGACTTAAAGTGGAAGTATGGGGACTGCTGCTTGCAGGGGCTGGGTCAGAGAAGCACAGAGGAAGCACTTGTCTGGGCACATTCCTGGGAGGGTATGATTAAGGAAAGTTAGGGTATCCGTTAGGATCTGGAGCCAAGAGTAAGACATTGTGGGTGAAGAAGAGGCTGAAGAGGAAGAGGAGTCTCAAATTGCCTGTATGATAACCTTTTCTGAATGCAGAATGTCAGAGGACACTCAAGAAACTTGAGATCCTATGGAAACATATTCCCGAGAGATGTGGAGGGCTCCACGGGGGGTGGAATCATACCCGTTACAATAGAAGAAGGCAGTGACACCTTCAGCCCACTGTGGGTCCCATGGGTCCTTGATGGTGATGTTATATTTTTTAATCTGGCTAACATAGAATATTCCCATGTTTAATTGGCCTGAGTATGGACATTCCCCATATACCTCTGGACACCAACTGTCGCGACCCCTTGCCCGCAAGGAAGATGCAACTCGGGAATCTTCTTTCAGCGGTTTATTCAGGCCCTTGATATTTCTTCTACTAATCCCTCGGATGCCCCTCCCAGCCTTAATAAAGCATCTCAAGGCCCAATGCGAAGCTGCCACGTGGAACTTTCTCATAGGGTGCTGGAAAACCATGCGCCAACTCTCCCAAATAAGGAGTTGTTTGTCACATACCACAGCGGAGTCAGCGCCATCTTGTAATGGCGACCATAGTCTGCATAAACGGCAGAGGCGGCTCACCATAACCAACGGCATCATTCGTCTTGTTGATCATATAGGAAACAGAGATATGGCCTCAAAGACTGCTGAATAAGTGTCGTTGAGGCAGGTAAGGATAAGTACACAGTGTCAGAACAACCATGCAGGGGGCAGTCTGCCGTTGCGGCTAGGGCTGTAGTTTTAGTATTTTTTTTTTTCAGTATAGGTTTGTCTAGCCTAAAATCTCCAGACATAAGGGGAAGAAGAGACCATAGAGTAAGGCTTATGAGAGTTAAGAAAAGGAAAGGCTTAGGGACCCAGGGGTTCATTTTCCAATATGGGTTCAAGAAGTGCGACCGGAGACCGATGGAGCTTAGACTGCTCCACGTGCAGATGAATCGTAGGTCGGCTTGAGCCTGGAAAGATGAACCCAAGGAGTTAATTGGTTATTAGGGAGTGGCTAGCCTGGCTGTAGTTGGAGTACATAGTACAACTTGTGTTGGACCTTCTCACTTTGGTAGTAGGGGACGCTTGTCTTCTGGCAGATTAAAGAGGACAGATTGGCCAGGCAACATGGAGAGAGGGATCTAGGAGGCTTCTGGATCTTGAAAAAAACAGTCCTGATGTTTCCAGATCTCAGCACTGAGATGAGAAAGAAGTAGTAATGTGTAGCGACTGGGGATGGGCCAAGATGATGGGGTGAGGCCCGGAGAAAGGAGTGGGCGTCCATATATGACCTCAAAGGGAGAGAGAGATGAGGGCTTCTTAGGCAGGGCTTGCAGACGGAGAAGGGCTAAAGGAAGGAGTTCCATGGATAACTTTGTGAGTACCTCTTTGAGTGTCCTATTGGTTCCTCCACCTTTCCTGAAGCTTGTGGATGGTATGGGCAGTGGAAATGCCAAGGATAGTCCTTGAGCGACAGACTGAGCGATATGTGAAACGAACTCGGGCCCCTTATCTGATTGAAGGGAAGTGGGCATCCCGAATTGGGGAATAATATGGGTTAGTAAAGCATCAGCCACATGGTGGTTGCCCTTTTATTTGTGGTGGGAAAGGCTTCTACCCATCCAGAAAATGTGTCCACTATTACTGGCAGATATTTGAACCTCCTGACTGGGGGCATGTTGGTAAAATCCAGCTGCCAGTCTGCTGCAGGAGTACATCCGAGGTATGTGACCTCGGGTGAGCAAAGCTGGGCCTTCTGGGAAGAGGCACGATACCCCCGACTGGCCAAATGATTCAGGAGACCAACAGTATCAGCCTTTGAGGCCTCCAAAGAGGAGCTACATCGGAGGAGGTCATCTACATATTGGAGAAGAGTAGAGGTGGAACAGGTGAAATGGAAGGGTTTGGTATCTGGCCAAAAATATGAGGGCTATCCCTGAACCCCCCGGGGGAAGAACAGTCCATGTGAATTGTTGTGAATGTCTGGTTTTAGGGTCAGTCCATGTGAAGGCAAAAATATCTTGGGACTCCTTGGCTAGGGGTGTGGAGAAAAAGGCATCCTTTAAGTCGATGACAGAAAAGTGGGTGGTTACGGCAGGAATTTGTGACAAAAGGGTATAGGGGTTGGGAACCAGCGGGTGGATGGGTTTAACAGTGGAGTTGATGAGGCGAAGATCTTGAACCAGGCGGTAAGTGCCACTGGGCTTTATTACCACCAGTATGGGGGTGTTGCACGATGAATGTGTGGGCCTAATGTATCCTTTGGTTAATGAGTCTTTTATGATTGGCTCTAAGCCAATGAGAGCTGCTGTCAATAAAGGTTGTTGGGGCTGGCTGGGGAAGTAGGAGGGATCCTTAAGCTGCACCACAATGGGTGGGCAATTTACCCTGGATGGACTTTGAATGTCCCGTATTATGGGATCCACCAGTGGTACAGGTGTAGGAAAGTGACTTTCAGAGTAGGCGTCTATTGATGTATCACGTTGAGAGCAGAAGGGGAGCGTAAAATCTTCAGGCAGAAGTGCTAAAAGGAAGGAGGGTGTGGATGAGATTGGCAATGGATGGAGAGTGTAGCTCGGAGGGTGGAAAGAATATCTCTTCCCAGAAGGGGTACAGGACATTGAGGCATAACCAAGAAAGAATGGGTGAATGGGAACTTTTCTATGGGACAAGTGGGGGAGATTGTGAGGAATGATGCTCTTCCCTCCTACCCCGACAATAGGCGAGGACGAAGGGAACGTGGGACCCTAATATTCCCTCAGGACCAAAAAGGTGGCTCCAGTATCTATGAGGAAACTAAGAGAGCGCCCATCGACATCAATTTGTACCCTAGGTTTTTGCCTGCTGAGGAGGACCCAGGGCCTCGTCAATCATCAAGTGCAAGGGGACAACCTCTCCCTGAAGACCCCTCCAATTCGAACCTACCAGAGTTCCTTGTCCTCGTCCTCCTTCTCAAGTGCTCACTTCCAATCTCTAGGTGAGTGCCCCCTATGAAGTGACCACCTTGGTCTTGCTATTGAGGAGAGCTTGACTGTGATCATCCAGCAACTCTCCGATGCTTGGCTGTGGGAGGAGAATTCACCCCACTTAGGTCTTCATGACCACAGTGGTCTCCTAGGTCACTTCCCAAGACAATCCCTGCCCTACCCTGACGAAATCTGAGGGAAGAACAGACCCCTCCTTCCCATCTCTCTCTCTCTCTCCCTCCCTCCCCCCCTCCTTTCTTTTCATCATGTGCACTGCTTCCCTCCACCACATTCTTCCACCATAATGTCCTCCCTCCCCCCCTCCTTTCTTTCTTCTCTGACAAAGGCCTAGTGCTAGGTGCTCCGAGACCTCCGGCATTTCCGCCCTTTGGGAAGAGCCCTCAAATGACAATCTGACTGCTCCTCCTGTTTTGCCCTCTACTGAGTCCATCGAATAGAACTACCTCTTGGGGACGCCCAACTGGGTCCCGATTGTAATTCCGGTCCTGAGTTTCTTCTCCTTGACTTTCTGCATTCTCCTCTGTCCTCACCATGGGGGCCTCTTCTTCCCTTCTGAATGATTCCCCTCTAAAATGCCTTCTTTCCAATTTGAACTGTCTGTCCCTTGCTCCAGACGTTAAGTTTAAATTATTAATCAAATTTTGCACCCAAGACTGGCCATGCTATCCTGTGGACAATCTCAGTCAGTGGCCTGCTGAAGGGTCCTTAGATCCCCCAATTCTTCATGACTTGTTCAACTACTGCGGGCACTCGAAAAAGTGGAAGGAGATCCCTGATGTTGAAGCCTTCTCCCTTCTCCATACCCATCCCCAACTTTGCTCCACCTGCAGTCCTCAGCAAATCCTCTTTGCCCGTAAGCCTGTTTCCTCACCTCCTGGTGATTCTTTTGTATCTTTGACCTGGTTGATGAGCCACTCCCTATTGTCCTTCACCACCTTCTGTATCCCAGCCTTCTGCCCCACCTTTACTTTCCCCTTCACCCCCAGCCGACTCTTTTAGCCCACCCCCACCCCCCGCAACTTGATCTCACAGGCTTCATAATCCTTCCAGTCAACCCCTTACTATGTCCCCTTTACGTGAAGTGGCTGGATCTGAAGGCATTGTGCGTGTCCATGTTCCCTTCTCTCTGTCCGATCTCACACAGCTTGAAAAGAGGCTGGGATCTTACACCACTGACCCCCGACTTATATTAGAGAGTTTCAGTGGGTCCTACAAGCCTATAGTCTCACCCACCATGATATATACATGATCCTGGCCAATACATTACTCCCTGAGGAACGTAGGAGGGTATGGGACTTGGCTCGGGCCCATGCAGTGAATCCTAATCACCCTGCAGGTCCCCATGCGGTCCCAGACCAGGAACCAAACTGGGACTATAATACTGCGGCTGGACTCCAGTTGAAGGACTAATTTGCCGCATGTATTATTGTAGGCCTTAAGAAGGCCTCTAGAAAAGCAGTCAACTTTCAAAAACTTCAGGAAGTTATTCAGAAAAGGGAAGAGACTCCCTCAAAGTTCCTGGAGCGCCTTACAAAAGCCCTCCAACAATATACAAATTTAGATCCTGAGTCTCCAGATGGGAGACACGTCCTGATGACGCACTTCCTATCCCAAAGCTACCCCTATATAAGACCTAAATCGAAGAAATTGGAACAGGATCCTGCAACTCCTCAGACTAAAATTCTGGATGTAGCCTTTAAAGTATATCATAACCGGGATGAGGACGCTGAGTGCCGCAAGCATCAGAGATCTGAAAAATTTGAACACCAAAAATTTCAAGCTCAAGGACAACTGCCCTTCTGGGGTAAGAGTCCCCTGGTGCCTGCTTTAAATGTGGTCAAGAGTGACTGGGCAAAGGCCTGCCCAACCCTGAGGACTCCAACTATGCCTTGTCCAAAGTGCCAACAGATGGCCATTGGGGGTCGGATTGTTCCAATCCCCAAAGGGGGAATGTGGCCAAACACCCTGGCTCTGACCTCCTGGGTTTTGGCACTGATGAAAGAACTGAAACCAAGACATGGAGTTACTCATTGGAGAAGTCCGTTTATTTCAGTTACAGCAGAGCCTTTTATCCAGGGTAGGCGGAGCCCCTTAAGACAGGAGGCAAATTCTCATTGGATTACAGCCATTAGAATGGTTTTGTCAGTTGCCCATTGGTGACTTATTGGCACCTTAATCTGCATAGACTAGGAAATGGACCTGGAAGAGAAGCAGCAGCTGTATCAGGGCTTCAGCAGAAACTGAAGCAGAGTTCTTTGAGGCAATTGCAACACCTGTAGGGATAACCACAGCAAATGTAGAAGTCAGGGTGCCTGGGTTGTGGCTTCTAGAGTAGCTACCATGTTATTATAATGGCCCAGCTGGGCTGCTAAAACAGTGAAGGTGCAATCAGTGGTCCTGGCAGCAGCCACAGAAGTGGTGGTGGGGTTGGCAATTGTCAGGGAAATCACAAAAGTGCCAGGGAGTTGCTGGTATCTGCACCATTGTAGCTGCCTGGTGGCACTCCAGGTTGGCAGCAGCTGGAACCAAGCCATCTTGGGGCGGGTAACCCAATAAGTGTCTCTGGATTAATTCCTAGGTCTTTGATCCACTTTGAATTGATTTTTGTGCATGGTTTAATTTCATTTTGTTGCATATGGATTTCCAGTTTTCCCGGAACCATTTTCTCCAATATATGTTTTTGGTGCCTTTGTCTAACCTAAGATAACTGTAATTATGTGGGTTAGTCTCTGTGTCCTCTGTTCTGTACCATTGGTCTACCAGTCTATATTGGTGCCAATACCATGCTGTTTTTGTTACTCTTTCTCTGTAGTATAGTTTAAGGTCTGGTAAAGTGATGTCACTTGCTTCACTCTTCTTGCTAAGGATTGCTTTAGCTATTCTGGGTCTCTTATTTTTCCAGATGAATTTCATGACTGTCTTTTCTATTTCTATGAGCAATGTCATTGGGATTTTGATTGAAATTGCATTAAATCTATATAGTGCTTTTGGTAGTATGGTCGTTTTGGCAATATTAATTCTGCCTATCTAAGTAGATTTTTTCCATCTTCTAAGGTCTTCTTTAATTTCTTTCTTTAGTGTTCCGTAGTTTTTGTTGTGGAGGTTTTTCAACTCTTTCATGCTATTATATTAGACAGAGGGTTCTTTTGGTGAATTTAGATATAAATCACAAAAAGGCAAAGTGCAGCTTTCTTAGTGTTAGCAGCTCTGAGCTTTTAGTGTCAGCTACTCTCATTGGCTGGTGTGAGCAACTCTCAGTGGCTAGTGTTAACATCTCTCTCAGTAGTTTCCAGAGCTCTCAAGAGTTCTCCTAGCAACTTCCAGCAGCTTTCACCAGTTCTCAGAAGCTCTCAGTGTAACCAGTTTTACCTGTTAGCAGCTCTCAGTGCTAGTAGCCTTTAACATCAATAGATCAACAAGCTTGTTCAGTTTAACAGGAACAGGTACACTAAAACCACATGAATAAGGTTTTATTAGGGCTTAGTACAGCACAAGGAAGGTAGTTTTCAGTTCCCACACTGACTTTCCAAGGGTTAGAGGAGCGTTGCTAACATAAATGAAAGGGGTAGGCCTCATGGGGCAGTGATCTGTCTGCTGATGGCAAAATTTCTGTATTGTCAAGCTAGTCTCCTGCATGCCTGCTGGATCTGCCTGCCCTTGGCTGTCATGAGTGGGGAAGGTGCTCATCATGAACCAAAATGGGGATTTCTGGAGCCATGGAGACACCCAGAGATCTGCAGCTGGAGCAGTATCCTTTTGAGCAGCCTTGGTTGAAGCAGCAGCTGTATCAGGGCTTCAGCAGAGACTGAAGCAGAGTTCTTTGAGGCAATTGCGACACCTGTAGGGATAACTATAGCAAATGTAGAAGTCAGGGTGCCTGGATTGTGGCTTCTAGAGTAGCTACCACTGTTATTATAATGGCCCAGTTGGGCTGGTGAAACAGTGAAGGTGCAATCAGTGGTCCTGGCAGCAGCCACAGAAGTGGTGGATGCGGTTGGCAATTGTCAGAGAAATTACAAAAGTGCCAGGGAGTTGCTGGTATCTGTTGCTACCTACCTCAACTCTCCTGGGTGGTTGGGGCTGGTGCCCAGGATTTCAGAGGGCCCAACTCTGACTCCTGTCCCCACCTCTACCCTGACATGCAGGCCAATTATAGCTGCCTGGTGGCCCTCCAGGATGGCAGCAGCTGGAACCAAGTGGCCAGACATGAAGGAAGGGACAGAAGCTAGCTAAGCAGCTGGGCCCTACAATGTCAGCTTCTGCTGGCCCCAGGCAACTTTGGTGGATAGGAGAAAAATAACCTGTTTGTAAAGAGAAAAAAAAATCTCAGAAACACAAAAAGCAAAAAAAGATTCTTTGGGTTCAGCCCTCCTATTCTATCTCATATTTGTCTTTTGTTTTGAAATCCAAGGACATTTTCTTTCTCTATGTTACAAAGCAAGGCAAGAACACCATTAAAAGCATGATTCTCAGTTCTTGGTTTTAATTCATTTCTTATCCTTTAAAACTCCTGGAAACTTTATTGTTTACATCCTTTTCTGTCACTTACCCCCCTCACCCATTTTTTATTTGAAAACTTTTTAAGCTTCCAAAAGAGTTTAAAAATGAATCCAGTGTTTTCTTTACCCAGATTTCACCAAATGGTAGCATTTTGCTACTTTCTCACTCTGCCAAAATGATTTAAAAGTAAGTTTTAGGTGTCATGACATTTTACCCCTAAATACTTTAGCATGTATCTCCTAAGAACAAGGTCATGGTCTCTTACATAATCATGATATTTTTGATATGTAGGTATAAAAATGTGTGTGTGCAGTAAAAAGAAATTTCTTCTGAGGTATTTGAGAATATGTTGTCACCATTATTGCCCCATCATCCATAAATATTATATTGTAGGTTTCCTATGAACAAGGATACGGAACCACCACTCAGTCATCAATATCAGTAAGTTAATGGTGATATGTTATTACCACCTAATACTCAGATCCCATTCAAGCTTCACCAATTGTCTCCATTATGGGCTTCATAGCCCAGAATTGCACTTACCCTAGTTGCTGTATTTCTTCAGTTTCCTTCCGTCAGGAGCAGTTCTTTACTCTTTCCTTGACTTTGTTGACCTTGACCCTTTTGAAGTGTTCTGGCAGGTTATTGTGGAGAATGTTCCTCAGTGGGACTCTGACATTTCCTCACAAGGAGGTTCAGGTTATATGTCTTTGGCAGGAACATCACAGAAGGATGCAGAACTCTTCTTGTTGGGTGCTGTCATGTGGGGCAGCATTTCAACTTATTTCATTACTGAGACATTACTGACAACATTTTTTTGGGGGGGTGGGGTGAAGGGATATTGGAGATCTAACCCAGGGCCTCATCTAAGGACACTTTCTTTGATCATCTAATTAGGTTGGTGTTTGCCAATCTTCTCAAGCTTATGCATTTATTTATTTTGATGCTGGGGACCAAAACCAGGGCTTTGCTAGTGACTTCTTTGTCACTAAACCATACCCTTAGTCCACATTTCTCAAATTTAGATGAACTCTTTCCCTTTTTGTCATATATATGTATTATATCCACATAAATACAAGCACATATATTTGTGGGGTGGTACTTTGAGGTTGTTTTAATCTCCTATTCTTCATCAGACTTTTAATTTCTTTCTTTCCTTTCTTCTCCTCTGACTCTTGTGCCCTCACTCTCATTCTCGCTCTTGTTCTTGCTCTCATGGGTATGAATTTAGGATTTCTATTGTATTCAATGGGATAAAACCCATTACTGTCCTTACTTATTTAATGCTCAAATTGCTAAATATTTGTCCAGTGTCAGCTCCTCGTTATTCTTTGACCTTTTCCTTTTCCTTTTGCAGAGTAAGATATTCATGTATTACTTTTTCTGCTCCCAACCTTGGAATCAGCCATGTTTCCAGGGAGTCATTGCTTCTTTTTAATGAGGAATGGCATTTAGAAACCAAAATCTGGGTGCTATGCATGCCAAATGTTCTTGGCAAGTAACTTTTTTCTAGGTTCTTTCGAGGGACAGAGTTGGGAATACAAGTATGTATATATGTATGCATGCACATGCATACACACACATTTATGTTCCATCCATCTTCATCTATCTTCTCTACTATAATACCACACTTATTTTGTTAAGTCTCCATTGCTACCAGTCTGTTATAATGCTATTGTCACTTATCCCTGAGTGGATGTCCTCTTACCTCAGATTAGGTTCTGGCAGCTCATGGGGAGTTGCTCTACATTAAGATGCTCTTCTCTTTTGCTTTGGGCTCCAACATCCCATGATGATGTGCCAGTGTGGACAACCTCCTCCTGCCCAGTCTCTGCACAGGGCTGCTGCCTACCTCTGATGGCCATCTCACCTTGCTCGGGCTCAGATACTGCTATAATTTTGATAAGTGTCCCCAAAAGTCCCATGATTAAAAGGCTTGGCTACCAATCTGTGGCACCATTGGGAAATGATGAACCTTTAGGAGGTGAGACTCAGTGGAGGAATTGGATGAGACTCACTGGGGGCATGCCTTTAAAGCAGATATTGAGACTCCAGCCCATTCCCCTCCATATCTTTGCTTGCCAGCCACCATGTGGTGAATATCTGCTCTCACACAATTCTGCCATGATATACTGCCTTGCCACAGGCCCAAAGCAACAGAACCAAGAGACGATGTATTAAAGCCTGTGAAATAATAACCTTTTATTATAGCCCAAATAAACCTTTTCCATTATTAGCATGATTATAGCCTAAATAAACCTTTTCCATTATTAGCATAATTATTTCGGGTATTTTGTTACAATGATGGAAATATGACTAATACAGAGACTCTGTGTTGGTATATTCTCATCTCACTTGAGGTTCTGCATGGGGTCTTTCCTATACCATGTTGATACTCTGCTTGGAATCTGGCCCTGCACCAGGCTGCCCCTGAATAAATGCCTTCCTCACCACTTGGACTCCAGCATCTTTTGCTTATCTCCCTCTTCATCCTGTTTTGATTCGTATACTGTACTCTGAGCCACCTTCCCCACTGGTAAGTTCTCCTTACCCTCCATGCTCCCACACCCTGTCCCAGTACACACATACACTCATCACCCAAATTGGGTTCCAACACCCAATGGAGAAGGCAGAGGGTTGGCCAGACAATAGTACAGAACACTAATGGGCCAAAGTCCATTGCAATTTTAAAAGAAAATGTCAGTGACTGAAGTTGTCCAGCATACTGATGCTGCAGACCCAAAATCTGGTATTCTGAAAAGTTAAGACATCAGTACTGGACTGTGACAATGCAGGGCTTCCTGGAATGATGCAGTGGGAAGTGCTCAGCATCACCTATGTGATACTTGTCAAAATAGATTTAACCCAAATATAATCAGCTGATAAACTAGTGAAGTTCAAATAGTGAAGATATTTTTGTTTACCTTAGGAGCAAACAAAAATGAAACTACTAGGATTTCTGTGGGAACTTCCTCATCAATGATGTGAGGGTCTTATTTACTGAAATCAGATAATTGTTTCAAATACTGGAAAATAATTTGTTCTAGAGGGTCCTATTTGCAATGCAATGGATATACATTCTACAAGTTTTATCTGAAGTATTAATATTTTTTCTCTTATACTGATTTGAAGTGTCTGTTGATTTCTGTGGTCTCAACATACTGGTCATGGAAGTTGCAGGGCAGAAATGCAGAGGAGTTAGGAGCTGCAGGCTCCGGCCACTAACATGACTAGCGAACATGCCACTAGGAAGGGGTGCAAGGTAGCACAACATGTGGTGTCTCCTTCATACATATACAATGAAATAATGAGCATAAATAAACCTTTTACATACAATGGGTCTGACGTAGCTTCAAGAGTATAGAGAGTCATAAGCTGTAGTAAAAATACTTTGGGAGTACCAAGTTTTGAGCACTTAAGTTTGTTTTAATGTCATTTATTTATTAGCTTCTATGACTTAATTTTCAAAAACTGGCTGTATTTAACAACTAACATAAAATTCCTGAAAAAGTAACAATAGACTTTCTTGAGCTAAATCAAGCACACCATGGCTACAGACTTAAACCAGCAAATCATGCATAAACAGCTAAGCTAGAGTGCCCAGGAGGTTCTTTTTTGTTTTTTTTTTCTTTCTGAAGTTATAGGACAAAGTGATCCACAGGGCAAAGTGGGGCTGGAGGCAAAGGGAAGTTGCAGGGCAGAAATGCAGAGGAGTTAGGAGCTACAGGCTCCCACCAGCTCACCACTGCATACCAGGGACTCCACTGACCTCATTGTTGACTTTACGGGCTCCATTAATGTTTACTTGAATTAGGCTGAAGTCCCTTGAAGGCTTTTTAGCATCTTAGTGTATAATTAAACAACACAGCCCCCAGTGCATGTAATTTTATAGAAGAACATAGAGGTTCCTTTGATGATATTTTGCTCTTTAAAGGCCTCGTGGCCTATAGGTGAATACACTTATGTACTAGGAATGTATTTCTAATTCTCTGGCATCCAGAGCCTTGCTGACCCCATAAACTGCCTGTTCTCTTTAGACCATCTCTGGAGATAGTAACGGACTGGCCTGTGAGGACACCTTTGATGTGTAGACCGATCCATTCAGAGCCCACAACTCCCTTCCCTCCTCTAGGGGGTTGCCCTGATTATCTCTGGGTCACCTGACAGACAAGTAGGACATGCCCTGTTCCTCAGAGCCTGCTAAGGTTATCTAAACCAACCAATTCTAAGCAAAATGAAACCACAACAAGGCTCTCTTCTGCATTTCCCCCATTGCTCCCTCACTTTGCCTCCTGACCTCTCCTACTGCTTTCCTATGCAGCCCCCTGGGCACGCTGAGCACCCTGCTCTTGGGAACTGTGAATAGCAAACTTTCTTTTCAAACAGCATCATCTTCTGAACCTGAGAAACCAAACCTCCATTTTACAACATGTTCTTCCATTGAACCTATGAAGAAAATGATACAAAATACATATTAAATATATAAACATATATGCATGTATGTGTATATGACATTTACATAATATAATCATGTATACATATAATATAAATACATTACAGATATGTATATATAATACATACATACATGTCATATCAAGAATATATACATTATATATAATATATGCATAATAAAATAATTATACATGTATAATACAGTATTTTATATATATATGATATATATGACAATTTATACATATAATATATATTATGATACATATAATAATATGTACATATATAAACATGTTCATTTAAATTGAATAATTTAGCAATTTTAGCATAAATAGTCACTATAAAACAAGTTTATTTGTTTTAAAAGACAGTACTCATTGGGCTGGGGATGTGGCTCAAGCGGTGGCGAGCTTGCCTGGCATGCGTGCGGCCCGGGTTCGATCCTCAGCACCACATACAAACAAAGATGTTGTGTCCGCTGAAAACTAAAAAAAAATATTAAAATTCTCTCTCTCTCAAAAAA